ACGTGATTATTATTACTATTAATATTATTAAATTTACTAATATTTTGAATTTTTTATGATTGTATTTGAAAATATTTATTTGTTGATTGATATTAATTTATTAAATAATAATATTAATTATTTTATAAATTATTAATTATGTTTATTAATTAAATTAAATTTATTTGTTTAAAAATAATATTATTTTACAATTTTAGAGGCCATAACCATGCCTAGTAATTAAGCATACCAACAAGTGTTTTTATCTTTTTTCTTGAAAGAATTTTTTCAATCCGTACCCTTGAGGTAAAAGTTAAGAGTATTTTTTTTACATTAAATATATATAGATTAATGTAAAAATTGATATTAATTGTATTAAATGTATATAGAATAATGTAAAAGTTAGTATTAATTTTAGTGTCAGATGAATTTAATTAAATAGTTGATAAATTAAATGTTGATTTTTATTTTTTAATACAAATTATGATGAAAAGGTGTATTTAATACACATTTAGAGCACAAATTAGATAAACCATTTTTAAAGGCAAAAACTAACATTTAGCCCATTGCCTTACAAAGTTGATAGGTTTTAACCCCTCATTTTATAATATAATAGTTTTATGACTTTTATCCCTTTATTTTATAAAGTTGATAAGTTTTAGTCCCTCACCTTACAAAATTGGTAGGTTTTAATCTCTTACCTTATATTATGATATTTTTAGCCCTTCATCGATACGAATTAAAGAAAATAACTCTCACCTAACATTAGGTTATAACATTATGTTAATTCTGTTAGTTGACTGTTAATAACCGTTAGTATTCTGTTATAAAAAACATAAAATTTAAAGTCAATTTTATTTATTAGTTCCATTAACAGAATGCTAATGGATGTTAACAATCAACTAACAGAACTAATAGTCAGTTAATAAAACTAACAGTCAGTTAACAAAACTAATAAAACATTATAACCTGATGTTAAATAAGTGTTATTTTCTTCAATTCGTACAGATAAGGGGTTAAAAGTGTTATAATATAAAGTGAGGGGCTAAAACCTATCAACTTTGCAAGGTGAGGGGTTAAAACCTATTAATTTTGTAAGGTAAATAACTAAAAATGTCATATTATATGGTTAAGAGTTAAAATCTATCAATTTTGTAAGGTGAGAGGCTAAAAGTTGGTTTTAGCCCTTTTTAAAATTGTGTGGTGAGCTTAATCATGTGATTCTTTTAATTAATTCTCCTAACCCCATTTGAAAATGATTTATCTAATTTGAGAAACATATTAATGGTGTAGTTATTATATTTTTTTTATATTAATTAATATTAAAAAGTATAAAAATTATCATTAATTTTAGGAAAAATTACACTTAATTTACCTGTAATTTAAGGTGAGTGCATTTAAAGGTTTATGATATCAAAACGTGCACTTAAAGATCTGTGTTTGGAAATAAGAGCAGCAAGACACTTTTGCCATTAAAACTTAACAAAAAATTTTATTTTAATTCCTCTAACGCCCTTCCTACCTAACACCACTGTCTTGCCGGCACTAAAAGTTAAATTGTAGTTGGTTTGACTCATTAAAACCATTTATAGTCTCATCATTTCTTAGCAAAGCATTACCATCCATCTATTAAAATACATAAAAAAAAATGATAATAATTAATTCATTTATTT